ATGCGGTTGGCGCAGGATAGAGCAGGGTTTAGGGCTGTTGTGCATAGGGTTGCTATGAGTCGGAAACGACTCGACGGCACATAACAACAACAACAATAGTTAACTGAAAAGATAATAACTTTCTTAATACCACCACTTTTTTTTTCTTTACTAGTCAATTAGTAATGGAGATTAAGAACCTAAACTTTAAAGTCAAATTACTTCTATTCATATCCTGACTCTGAATTTTACTAGTTTACCTTGTGAAATGACCATTTTTTTCCATTTCCTCACCCGGAAATGAGAATAAACATTTCATAGGTTGTTGAGAGAGCTCAATGAGTTAATGTAGTGATCTTCTAGAACAGTGCTCAGCAAAACAAACACCCCTTATGTGTTCTTATTCTACTCTGAAGATGCATATGATGGCCATAGGAACTGGCCAGATACAGCAAGGGAAAAACAAGGATCATAAAGTTGTAAAGATAAAAGCAAACATAGTGGTTATTCTCCACCAAACTCAGGAATTCTTGAAAATTCACCATTTTAGTACTCACAGGCACTATTGTCAGACTAACCCAGACACACACTTCATTATACAGTACAAATTCTCTTTCCCTAGTAATCCATTTTCAAAACAGATATACCATAATATAATGGGGGAAAAAGTTAGTGCCAAAAAATCAAGACCTTACTGCAAAATAAGTCCAAGTAGAGCTTCATTTGGACAAATCTCTTTAAAATTAGGAAAGGGGTAAGTGGTGTGAAATAAAAGAGAATTGCTCTCTTTGTATTATGGAGAAAAGAAAGGAAGTGATTTTCTAACTTACACTAACGGGATCCTCCAAGTCCTTCCCAGCTTGAAACTACATTGCTTAGATGCCAGGAGCCACCACCATCCCATACTGCACTTTTTTTTCCTATTATTATACTAGATTATTTACAAAATTTGAATATGTTGTTTTCCAGAACAGATTATTCCAATTTCCCTCATCCCATCCTCGAATTGTACAACTCTATGATTAATTCTCCCCTCCCCCTGCACATCCTTATCACTCTGCTTCCACTCTCCTCCCCTTGGATCCTTATACTCATTCTACAATAATGGTTTTATAAAATATTTATCCTTGTGGTACTGAGTTAGTTCACTCAGCATAATGCTCTCCAGTCCCTCCCAAGTTAGCTAATAATTTACAAAATCATTGCTCCGGTGTACTGTGTAGTATTCCATTGTGTGAATGTGCCATAATATCTCAATCCATTTGTTTGTGGTTGAACATCTGAGCTGTTTCCATATTTTTGCGATGGTGAATAATGCGGCTATGAACATTGGTATTCAAATCTCCATTTGTGCCTCAGTTCTCATTTTCTCAGGGTATATTCCATTTAATGGACTACTGCACTTTTGTACACATAAGAACAAGATGTTCCTATCCTCATGTCTAGCACAGCCCTAGCTTGAGTCCCCAATCTACTGAGAAAAGTTTGAAAAGATTTCAGCCCTTGAGCCTTCCTTCAGACATCTATGTAAACCACAGCCTTCACAAATTTCCACAGTAGCCTGGGGACCCTACTATTTGGGGACAAAAGCAGAGAACTCTTACACTCTAAGACTTTGTGTTATGTTTTTTTTTAATTCTACAGTACAAACCTACTGATTATTTTCCAAACACATTTTTCCACAGACAAAATTGTCAGAAAGAGAAAACCAGTATGTCTTAAGAAAAATACAGATCAACAATGCTGAGAATACATTGAAAAGCCTTCTGTCTGATGGAGAGGAATTAACTGAAAAGGTATGTTCCTAGGATAGCCTTCAGAGAAGGATTTAGCTGATGTGAGCCTTGCTAATTACCAAAGGCTGGAGCTTAATGGGGCCAAGGAAATATTCAGTGACCTATGTGACTTAAAATAAATCAAGGGATGAGTCACAATATGAGGAATGTGTGAAATGCAATGTACATGAATGATAACAAATATATACAAATTTGTATGCAAGTCAATATAATACTATTTTTTTCTAAAAGAGTGTCTAAAAAAATAAATCAAGGTAAGTCCTTTATCATTGCTTTCTTTGGAAACTTATATTGTTCTTGTTGTGTATCATTAAGTTGGAACCGAGTCATAGTTGACTTTCCAGCAGGTTTTCAGAGGCTGTAAACTCATCAGAGGAGATTGCCCATCTTTATCCTACAGAGCAGCAGGTGGATTTGAACCTCATGCCTCTGTGTTGGCAGCACAACTCCTTACCGCTAAGCCACTAAAGCTCCCTTATATTTATGAAGAACCTTAAGTATATTTGCTGCTGATTAATATGGTTGATTTCTGTTTCAATTAAGTTACTCATTCAACTGTTTTCCTTAATATTTTAGGGCTAGGAGCAGTAGAGCATCCATAAATAAATTTACTATGTGTAATATAAAATGTAAATGTTTGCTAAAGGACACATTAAATAGTAAAGAAAAAGAAAAGGAAATGTGTAGAGAGAACAATTTTTTAATTTGGCAGGCAGCCAGTGAAAACCAAGCCAACCTTTTTAAACTCTAGCTTTATACCAATATCAAATTCTAAATGGATTAAATATTTTAGTAGAAATCTCAAATCTTAGTAAGACTATTAGAAACTAGAACAAAATCATTAGTAAACCCTGGAACCCAAAACCCACTGTTGTCAACTCATGGTGATTCTTCTTCAGGTTTTCAGGGCAATAGATATTAATAGGAGAAAACTACCCATCTCTCTTCAATGAAGGGCTGATAGACTTAAACTGCTAAACTTAATAAACAGCTCAATATTTAATCTACTATGCCACTGTTTTTCTTACTATTTTGTGTTATGTAGTTGGAACCAACCTATTACTGACTCTTCAGGGGGTTTTCAGAGCTAGTAAATCACAAGGGAGAAGATTGCCCGTGCTTCTCCCACAGAACAGCTGGTGGATTCAAACCACTGTGTGCTTTGGGAATTGCAGTGTAGCTTCTTACCACTAGGCCATCAGAGCTCTGTGTACCACTTGTTGCTGTGTACCATCGAGTCAGAACAAACCCATCACTGATCCTCCAGAGGGTTTTCAGAGGCAGTTAGTCAAACAAAAGAGGATTGTCCATCCTTTTCCTGTGGAGCACCTGGTGTATTAGAACCATGTGCTTTTGAGATTGTAGTGCAACTTCTTGTCATTCGGCCACCAGAGCTCCCTATGCCACTGTTGTTGTTATGTGCCATCAAGTAGCTTAAATCCAGAATGACCTTATGCACAATAGCTCTGAACTCTGCTCTATCCTGAGCCAATCTCACTGTTTCTGACACACCTACCCTCATTACCCCAGTTATTGTATCAAACCATCTCATCTGAGTTCTTCCTCTCCTGATCTGTCCCTAGATCCTTCTATGCATGATATCCTTCTCCAAACACTGGCTATATGACCAAAGCAAATGAGACAGAGTCTCAAAATCCTTGCCTCCAAAGAGCAGGTTGGTTTCACTCTTTCCAGGACAGATCTGTTAGTTCTCTTGGCAATCTGTGGTGTGTTCAATACTCTTCTCCAGCACCACAACTCAAAGGCATCAATTTTTCTTCTGTCATTTTTAGTCATTGTCCAGCTCTCTGATGCTTAGCAAGTAGTTATGAAGACCATGGCCTGGATCAGGTACACCTTAGTCTCTAGACTGACGTCAGTGTTATTTAGCACTCTGGAGAGGTCCCTGATAGCAGATTTCCCTGATACAATCCATCTTTTGATTTTCTGACTTCTGCTGCCAAAAAGTATAGATTGTTCCTTGAATTTGGAACAAATTTTAATATAGTTTAATACAATAAAATATTACAATGGGAAAAGACAATAGATTTTTACAAGGTAAAATTTTAATCCACAGTAAAACAAGTAAATTAATTAAAAAGTCAACTAGATTGAAAAAAATATTAAGGCAAACATAGGCTGATGAAACTCTCCCAAATTAATAAGAAAAACATTAAACTGTAAGCAGAGTTAATGTGAAGAGGGATTCAGCACATTTCTCATAGCCAAGAGGAAAACTACCTGACCTCAGGGTGGTTTGCGTCTTCACTGTTTGGTTCCTTCACTTTTTAGTTCTTGAAGGTGCACTGCAGAGTCCACCTCTAAGTTCACCTCTAGGCCTATAAAAAAAACAGGATGAAAGTTTTTACTTCAATTGTATAGTCATAAATGAACAGTTACTGTCTTTGAAACAAAAACCCTGAAGTAATGCAAAAACAGTCAAATTGCTCAGCACTCTAGCTGAAAGGTTGGAACATCTAGTCCACTCAGAGGACCTCAGATGAGCCTGATATGCTTCTGAAAAATCAGATCTTGAAAATCTGTGAAGCAAATTTTACTCTGACGTATATACAGCCACTATGCATCAGAAATATTTCAACTATGTGGTTTTGTTTTATTTTGTTTTTAAGCTGCTTCTTGGGATAAATATATAATACATCCCCTGCTTTCATGAAATTTACCATCTAGTTGTTGTTGTCGTGTATCATCGAGTCTGAACCAACCCATAGCTGACTTTCTGGCAAGTTTTCAGAGGCAGTTAAACAAACAAACGAAAAGGAAACAAATATTTAGAAAGAAAATTATGACATGAAAACTAATTTCAGAGGCATGGTGCAAACAGAATAGCTAACGCTCAGGAAGAAATAGCTAATTTCTCTAGCAGTACATTAAAGAAGACTTCTCAAAGAAGATTTTGCTTAAACTGTGGATTACAAAATGACTGGAAGTATATTATTAGCTGCACTGCAATCCCGAAGGCACATCGTTCGAGGCCACTAGCTGCTCCATGGAAGAAAGATGGGCAATCTCCAACAACAACAACAAGAAGCAAAAGAAAAGTACTGAAAAGCAAAGAAATGAGAAGCAGTGTGATATGTCCTTGGCACTTGAAGAACTCTAACTTTTGATTTGCAAGGAATTAGAGGCAATGCTAAAAACATTCTCAGAGGCCAGATTATAAAGACTGCTTGGAACATAGACTTCATCCTGTGGACTTGGGGAGTCATTGAAGCATTTACCAAAACATTATCTTGATGATCAGCTTTTCATTTTAGAACCATTCTTATGTAGAGCCATCTCAAGGAAGATAGACTGGTGAACTAAGAGTCAGAGTAGAGGGACATTGGTTAGGAAACTGATGGAGTACTCTAGCCAAGAGCATTGCTAATTACTATCATTTGAAAAGGCTTTCCACTGAAATGAGATGAACTAAGATTGAGAGGCATAAGGATGAGGAAGAAAGGGCAAAATGTCGAGCCTAACAAATAGCATTTGACAACCAATTGAATATGAACAGTGGGAAAGCTGGCTTGAAGAAATGGATAACTTAAGTGAAAAATAGATACTTTGGATTGCATTGAATGTGTAAATTTCCTTTGGTAGTATTGTCATGTTCACAATATTGTGTCTTCTTATCCATGTTCAAGGAATATTCTTCCACTTCTCCAGGTCTCTTTTTGTTTCTTGTAGTAATGTTTTATACTTTTCTTTGAATACATCCTTTGTGCTTCTGGTTAGATTTACTCCCAAGTATTTAATCATGTGATTAGCTATTGTGAAGGGTATGCTCTTCTTAGCTCCAGTTCTCTTTGTCACTGTAGAGAAATCCAATTGATTTTTATATGTTGATATTTTATCCTGCCACTTTGCTGAATTTGTCAACTATGTCCAGTCGTTTTCCTGCTGAGTCTTTAGGGTTTTCTAAATATACTATCATACCATCTGCATAGAGAGATCATTTTACCTCCTCTTTGCCAATTTGGGTACCTCTTACTTCCTTCTCAAGCCTTATTGCTATCGCTAAGATTTCCAATACAATATTGAATAGGAGAGGTTCAATGCAATCACACTCAATGAAATCCCAAAACAAATACCATTCTTCAACAAAATGGAAAAGGCAATCTCCAATTTCATTTGGAATGGAAAGAGGCCCCAAATAAGCAAAGCACTCCTAAAAAGAGAAACAAAGTAGGAGGCATCTCACTCCCTGATTTCAAATCCTACTACATTGCCGTGGTGGTCAAGACAGCGTGGTACTGGTACAATGACAGAAACATGGATCAATAGAATAGAATTGAGAACCCAGAATTTAACACTTCTACCTACGGTCAACTGGTTTTTGACAAGGAAATGAAATCAGTTAAGTGGGGAAATGACAGCCTTTTTTTAACAAATGGTGTCGGCAAAATTGAAAAACTACCTGTAGGAAACTCAAGCAAGATTCACACCTTACTCCATACACAAAACCAACTCAAAATGGATCATGGACTTAGGACTAAAACCAAGGACTATAATCTTCATTAAAGAAAAGCTTGAAAGAACTCTAGAAGTCCTAATCTACAACGTAAACAATCTTCCAAGCATACTGAAAAACCTACAACCAGGAGAGGATAAAATAGATGAATGGGATCTTCGAAGAATAAAATCCCTATGCACATCCAAAAACTTCTCCAACAGAATAAAAAGGGAAGCCACAGACTGGCAAAAAATATTTGGTAATGACATGTCCGATAAGGGATTTATATTGAGAATTTACAAAATACTCGAGCATCTCAACATGATAAATGTAAATAACCCAGTTGAAAATTGAGCACAGGATATGAACAGACACTTCACCAAAGACAGTCACTTGGCCAACAAACACATGAAGAAATGTTCAAAATCCCTAGCTCTAAGAGAGATGCAAATAAAAATAACTATGAGATATCATCTCACTCTAGTAAGAATAGCAAACATCAAATGCTGGTGAGGTTTTAGAGAAACTGGAACCCTTATTTACT